TACGCGAAGCGAGTTGGAAAAAGGCGCGACATTAGCGGGACGATTACCCGCGCGGTGTAAAATTGATATCGCGCTGCCAGTCACCGTTAAAACCTCTCGTCGGTGACATCGATCAACCTAATAACACGTACACGGTGTACTCGTTCGAATGGAACCGGAGGAGAGATCCGGCCGCTAATGACAGCTCCTTTCGGTGTGTCGAATATGATCGAGTTCGCGTTACAGAAATTCGCCAGCCCGCTCGCACGGATCTCTCGCTAACGATCGGTACTTGTCGACTGTGGCGCATTCGCCGACACTTGTCACCGGAGAAAATCGGCCGCGTTTCAGTGTCGACTGCATCCGTCGCCGATTGAGGAAAACCGAAGTAGCACGTATGTTTACCGTGGCCAGGATAAAAAGGATATACACGAAGATGTATAGCGGATACGAGAAATGGACGTGAACGATGTATGTTTTTGGTTTGGAGGAGGAATTGTTCGTGATCGATACCATAGATTTCATACATAGGACGGAAACTTTGCAAGAACGCTGGCTTTTAACACGTTGGTCGCCACGTCACCCATATCTATGTGACAGTTATACTTCCGTGGGTGCCCCGTAACCCAAATATGGGTGACGCTTTTTTTGTTCGAGTTAATTAAGATATATAACATAAAAATATTAAAAACACATTATACCATACTTTTTATTCATTTATATTGTGGATAAAGTGTCACATTATACGTATTCGTTAAAACATTCCAAACACATTTCCGTTGATTTTGGACACATCGAACAATATGTTTTAGTTTTTTTTACGTTTTTTCTCGCTTCTTGGCGTGCGACAATTTTCCTCTTCTTCTCGTAACATAGGGTGCACATCCTTCTTATAGGCTTGCCCTGCTGATTCTTACGAATCTCCAAATGGTGGGACACCTTCTTCGTTTTCTTGCCATGGTTGTCGGGCACGGTATTTTCTCAGGACACACTCGGAAACGAGAATTTGCCGAAATCTTCTTATCTGTATTTTTTTGTTTCTGGCTGTTTGGTACAGAATATGAGCATGTACTATAGTTGTTCCTAAGAGTAAATGCTAATTTCCGATACCACTTGATGCTTCTTCGTATCGTAGTGACATACGAGACCATCTGGTCACTTCTGTCGATACCAGTTTCTCCATTATTCTATACTACTCTCCACACTTTCAAATATATTTCCACGCTGTCTACTGAACATTTTGAGGATGAAAAAATCACCGACGCGCGTCTCACAAGAAGTATGCTTTTCGTAATACTTAAACGCACATTTTTCTATCCCTTAAAAACGATCGGCGAAGATCGACGCGTATGTGTATTTTAAATACACCCACTATACGTACTATTAGGTTGTCCGAGAAGTTTCTTTCGTTTTATAAGGAAATAATAGACGCACAATGTTTTTTGTTTTATATTAGTTTATTGAATTATGCAGAAACATAATAATAGAAATATAACGAAATGGATCATACTTAATCAAATTTCAGACAACCTAATACCTCGTTGCTGCTATTTTAAAGAAAATAACTGCCAAACAATTCGTATCTGTCGATGAAAGGGATAAACTGGATTTTGAAATATCGTACGAAGCAAAGGTTTGAAATCGGCTGCTGCGACAGGTCGGTTGGTCGGTTAGTGACTCTTCCGAGTTCCGAGTCACGAGCTGCAGAAATATACTGGAAGACCACAAAGCCATTGACGATGCGAGGTAGGATGAATCGTGGTTTGCGCTCAGTCATTGCCATCGCCAAGCCGCGACTGCTCCAACTTGCCTGGCGAATCGTGTCGGACGAGATTGTGGGATTAACGTAACCGGTTGCGATTGCGAAACTCGCGCCGGCACGTTCAAACGCGATTGGATCTCTTTCTTGGCTGCGACCCTTTTTGCCGCTTCTTTCGCCAGCGCGTTAGCTCTCGGCGAAATTAGCCGATCGTACAGAGACGAGACGTCCTACCGGTTGATGGTCCTCGTTCCACTTCCTAGCAAAACGAACGCTGCCTACTTTTCTGTCGTTTCTTTATTGCTCTTTTTCTCGCGTATATAGATTCGCGATCGAAGCGTTTGCCGCGAGAAGGGAACGGGTTTGACTTCCGTTCTCGTAGTTTTTAAATCGTCCAGCTGGTTTTTACGCGATTATTAACGCAACGTTCGTTCGAATAGGGCGCGCAGTTACAACCAAGTGGAAACAGCTAACAACAAACGACGAAAGTTTTGAGACGTTTCGTTCGCAAGGAAGCGGCGCGTGCTCGATTGCGGCTACACACTGTGAACGCACGAGTTTCCTCAGCAACGAAAATTATTTCGATATTGTTTTGGACATCCGACTTTCGGGGAGCGAACATTTCGACGAAATCGAAATCGTATCCTGAGAAAGTTTGCTTTTAAGTCATTTAATTATTTCATTATTTTTATTATTTATTTATTTAATTAAGAGACGATTAACATTTTGCCTGATCGTCTTCTTCTTTTTGCTTCTCTCCAGCAGCGGTTACTCGGAAGCTACTGCCAAATAACGTTTCGCCAAACTCGTTTCGCATTTTCGCTCTACTCTCTTTCTCTTTCTCTTCGTCTTTAAACCTAAAAGTACCTAGAAATATTTTCCAGAAATAGGTACGTTTAATTACTATTATAAGAGCGATAGCACGCATAGTCCACAACTATCGTACAGTACCATGCGTACAGCTTTACTCAGGAAAGGTGAAGCTCGTGAGAACATCTGCGCCAGAAGAGCAAAAGATACAGAGTGATTTTTGAGATATTCTCGTTCTCGCCGATCGGTCAATTGTAGAGCGAGAATTCCGTAATCGCAGTCGATTAAGTCGATGAAGAGAATCAGAGGTGCTCTTAACCAAAGATAATACGCGAGACGACGATAGAGCGGTAAAAGCCAGCTCATCCGGCTTTCTCATTCTTTTTCCTTTACATGTGCCATGTATTAGGTTGTCCGAAAAGTGTCTTTCTTTCGCAAACGCGTTTTTTACAACAGTGCACCTTCATACAAACCAAGTCTGTGAAATGTCACGGTGTTTATCTCAACAGAACAAAATGGATCGTACGTAATTCGACAAAATAATATAAAACAAAAAACGTTGTGCGTCTATTATTTCCTCCTAAAACGAAAGGAACTTTTAGGACAACCTAATACTTAGCCTTCTTAGCGGAAGTTCGTCTAATCGTCTGTATCGCCTTTTTTCGTCTGAAATCGCGCAAGGAACAAAATCGATCTGATCGCGCTGCAAACTGATACACGTACCGATAATGTTCGTTTTATGCAAACAACGCAGCCAACGGGTATTCAGTTTGAAAGGCGGAAGCCTAATTGACCGGACTGTAACGAACTTGTATAGCCGAGGACCATTCATCGCGATTGCATTTCTGAACGAGTGTTACTCGTGTACAGGTTGGTTGGAAGTGTGGCCGATTATCGATCGGTATTGCATCAGGGGAACGATACGTTAAATCGACTTTGAATAATTCCGTAGTTTGCCTGTTAATCTCCGTTTTCACCTCGATGATGAAGAAAAGGGACAAACAAAGGCAGGGGGACAGAGAGCGGAAAAGAGGGACAGAAAAGAAGAAAATATGGGAGACAGAAACGAGGTTCGGGCAAACGAATCCTCATAGAGACTAATCGATTGGGATTTTTTGGCGATCGAAAAAACCGCGAAACGTGGACCGAGAATGGATGGCCCAATTTTCCTGGCTGAAACACGCCAGACGTTTGGGAAACCGTGCACGGTGACGCGAATCACGTAGGTAAACCAGATCTCCGCAGCTTTTACAGGTAGGCCGCGTGTTGGGAACGCGACAGACACAAACACAGAGAAATACAGGGAAGGAGATGGAGAAAAGAGCGGCAAGAGGAGGAAAGAGACAGACGGGGACAGGACGAGAACAGAGAGGAAACTGGTTACGGACCCTGACTCGACTTCGAATGCGGCACAATGCATCGCGCGTACGTGTATGCGACGTGTACGGAGTGTACACGAGGAAAACAAGGCAATTCGTGATACGGCGCCGCGTTACAGAGGCGCGCGCGGACCTCGTTCCGACCCTCTTCTCTTTTCTTCCCTTTTCTTCTCTCCGCTTCTCTTTCGCTTTCCCTCCCTTTTCCACCATTTTCTTTCTTTCCCCGTGTTTATTTTCTCCGCGGTCCTGTATCTCGTTCTACCGACACAGCGTCGTTTCGTCGCGACCATAACGAGAGCTGCTGTTTTTCCGAGATCGCGATCGTTCTATCGCAGAGGACGAGAACGGTGCGTTAGCTGCGCTAACAGGAAATCACGCGGTGGATGCGACAAGAAGGATGCTAGGAGATGCGATAAATAATGCTACTGGGAAGGATCGAGGACTGTGGATCGTTGTGCTGTGGTATCGCTAACCTTCCATGATCTCGCAAATAAGTAAACTAAGTCGATTGTTGTTCAAAGATGGTTCGTAGCGATTTATCGAAAATTCATATTTTTTATTTAACTCGCTGTTCTCGTGAATTTTTAACTAAATAGCGATCGGTCAGGTTGATATCGCGAACCTTGAGTGAATTAACGCTCAAGATGGAGGTAAATTAAATATATCGAGTGTTAGTATGCAGGGCCGGTTTAAAAATTTTGCGGGGCCTGAATACACATTCAAATCCTTAATTTTTACAACGAGGAATTATTTATTTACAAATGCTGTTACACATTATATATTTTTTATAAGCAGTTTTTTGAACAAATCCAAGCAATATCTTTTCGCATCCATAATTCGTTTTCAAGGGGCAAAAAATTCAATGAAAGTACAAAGTCTGCAAGCATGTATGACTTTTGCAAAAAACTATTGATGTAGTTTAATTTCTCTAAAAAGTACATTTCCCTGAAAGCGGCTGCATCTTTTTATCTAAAGTAGTTTCCAGGGTATGAGAGCTTTATGGAGTTACACTGAATCATTGCTCCTGAAAAAATGTCTTGCATCTGTTAATAGTATCATCATTCTGTAAACAGTTAATCAAAATCGGTGTTTTTTAATTGAGTAATTTTCGTAGACCGCGGGACCTCTCAAAACGCGGAGGCGGATTCCGGCGAACGCGCTGAACCTGCCTTGCGTCGGCCCTGTTAGTATGGTTCGGTAATTTTTCCACTTTTAGTATACACGCAGAGTTCGACGTTCTGATCACGACGGTTGTACGATCTTGTCGAGACCGAAGACGGTGTAGTAACACGAACAATACGAAGCTCTGGCGAAGACTGTGGTAGGATGTTGTTGCTACTCTCACCAGAAGCTTCTTCTCGTCTTTATATCCTGACTTTCCATCCCCGCGTTTTCCATGGTTTATTGTTCTCTCGTGGGCGCACATCCTCTGGTATTGCCAGCTGTTTACCTTTGCCCTGGACCATCGGGCACTTAAGGTGTTTTTAGCCTCTTAAATCAGGTCCACGTCTTAAGGTTACAGCTTGGGGAGGTATTTCGGACTTTCCCAAAAAAGGGAGATGTGTTGTCCGAGTCATAAACTGACGGCCACTCGAAATTCTGAACACTCGCATCGAGGCAGGCTACGCTGCGTGCTAATACGTAGCAGCGTGTCGAGAATAGGTAGGTAGGTAGATAGGTAGGTTTTAACCCTTCGCATTCGAGGACTTTTTCGGTCGGGCGTAGCAGCTACTCCGGATGATGTAGCGTATACGTGACGCGTGTCTTACTTTTTTTTTTTTTGAGATTTAAAGTTTATTGAGTCCAAGAATACAGTTTTAGGTACATTATTTACAATAAACGGTGAATTTTTGTAATGGTATGTCAGGCAAAGGTACCGATACGCGGCGGTACGACGTAGCCATGCTGTATTATGTGTCGGCGCTTTACATTTTTCGTTGTATGATACAGTGACGCGTGTCTTACAGCTAGCGTGAAATGATTTTATATACAAATTAACTTAGAAAAACGTTATATTCTAACAATTCATCTATATTTACATCTTTGAAAATATGATTTTGTAATATTAATTCCTGTATTTCTTTTGTATGATAATTTTTAAAGCATTCACCAAGATGCATTCGTGATGAATATGTAGCGTCACATGAGCTACAGGACAATTCAAATCATGTTGTCGTTTTACCTCGGAATATCAATATCGTTAGGATACACATAATGTAATAATAAATAAACTCCGGCCAAAACAATGTCGCCGCTACGTGCAACCGTCAAACGTAGACGAATTCAAATTTTCCAGCTCTCCTCCAACCAGTACAAATAAACGAACGCGATCGTAAGGAGTTCAGTTATCAGTCAGTTATCAGTTAGTCGCGCCAATCAGTATCAGATATCAATCAGTATCAGTTACCAACGAGTTATCAGCGATTATTTTAGCGATTATACACTGCCTTGGCAAATTTGTTAGTACGAGCGATTGTCGTCTGTATTAATTTATTTATTATTTTAAATATACTTGACGGGTTTCAACAACGAGCAATCTCGTCCTATAAATCTCACGATCGACCATCCTCTACATAAGCCTCCAAATTGATAACCCCGACGTGATCTGAACACAACTAAACCTCTACAAATATAATTGATCTCATTTTTCAACAGTTCAAAATCAAGTTCATCTTCATTTCAGCTAATTTCACTTCTGAAAGTTATTTTGTTAGGGTTTTTAAACTATGATATTTTTGCCATGATCGTCGAATTCGAACTAACGTTGGAGACGTTGTTGAACCATAGTTTCAGAGGGATATGAGATTCAATATTTTATCTTCATTTTAAAGTCTAACACTTTACACTTCCTAACGAAGAACACAAAGAGCCAAGGAAACAATTTACGAACCAATATTGCACTCCCATCAATTGCAGATGTCGAAATCTAGCATAAACAGGCGCTGTCGCCTCTCACTCGCCACTGGAGTTGCAGCACGGAACGCCGTGGTAACTTAGAGTCGCCTCTCGAGTGCAAGGGATTAAGTGAGATGATCATAACGTGTAGGCTTATTTAACACATTGTTAACCGGTAATTTTACTGAGAATTTGTCTCATATCGCCGGCTATTATTTCGTAATTGGATGTGGAAGTAAAACGATATAAATAAACTTCAATAAATTTTATTTATTATTCAACTCTTAATATACATTGAGCAAGGTGCAGTTTATCAGAAAAAATGCTAATTTTTTGGAGAAATAAAGTTTCTCGTAAAATACTGCTGTTCGCCAAATATCGATCTGCACCATCTACCCCTTTCGTGTGCTTATTGTATTGCAATATGCACGTAAGTTTAATGATATTTTGGTGGCCTAATATCAGATTCACTATCTTCTGATACAGTATCATTTTCCAAGTCATCACAATTTGATTCACAATCAAACATTCGCGTATGATTCATCGACAGATTCGTCATTGGTACGTTCCGTCATCGTTGAAATTTTGTTTACAATAAACTCACTGTACAACAATTGCACTGTATCGTCTCCAACAGCGCACTGAGAAAACGACGCTGATGCGAAAAAGACGAGTTTACTCGCGACGTTTGGCCGTGAGAACACGAGTTAACTCGTGACCGGTCAACAACGTGTTAGCACTTTGACTACCACGTCGAAATCACACGTTTCGCTCAGGACGCCACGGAGGTATTTTTATTATTCAAAGCACATAATGGCAAAGTAATAATAAATTGATGATGTAAGACAACATTCTTCCCCAATGGACCGTTTATCTTATTGGTGATCACGGCTGACCACCGTGGCGCCTTGCTAACAGTTGATAGCGACATATTATAACGAGGCTTCGTTTATTTCAACAAACCATTCGCATTTGTTATTTCGTCGTGTGCAAAACGTGTAGAATATATTGTTGAAACGTGTGGAAGATATTAGTAAACAGTATTTGCACATTCTACAGGGTGATTGGTAACTGGCGGCACAAGCGGAAAGGGGATGATTCTACGCGAAAAAAGAAGTCGAAAATATAGAATAAAAATTTTTCGTTCGAGGCTTTGTTTTCGAGAAAATCGACTTTGAATTTTCGCTCGGTACGCGTGCGGTACGTTATAACGGATCTCACTGTAGATCGTTGTCTCGATGGAAAAATAAAAAAAAAAATGTTTATTCTATATTTTCGACTTCTTTTTTCGCGTAGAATCACCCCCTTTCCGCTTGTACCACCAGTTACCAACCACCCTGTATAATAATAAAGTATGTGCACACTTCTTGCTTCGATTATATGATTATAAAGCAGCATTTACGATTATTTTCTAAGGTGTGTTTATAATAATATTCGTAGATTACCCCTCAAAGATATGGATGCACACACGTAGATTACCCCTCAAAGATATGGATGCAAACACAGTGCACCGTTAGATGCAAGATTTGTTTTCATCTTTTTTTTGTATTGATGTTATAATAAAAATGTTTAATTGTTCAATAGAACACTTTTTATTTCAAAGTATCTTCTATTTATCGGTTATATTGAAAATACCCTAACTGTCAATTTTCATTCAATTTTTACAATTGCAAGAAGTTGAAGCGCTCCGGTCGCTAATGACCACCGTGGCGTCTCAGGAGGAACCGTGACCGGTCATATATGACCTACGTGGCAGTCAAAGGATTAATAAAGTAACGAGTGGATGAAGTTGTAATAATCCTGATGTATTAAAATAAGTACAAGTACAGAGATAACGCGTGCCAATACTATACCACTACTGCTATACCAATCAAAGACAGGGTAATGATATCATAGGAAACACGTTCATACATTTACATCAACGGACGTTACCACGAGAAATAGCAATAACAACCTAATCGATGTTCTTTTGCTTCTAAACCTTCCAAGCCAAAACAATGTTAGTATTCAAAGGTACAGTAATACGAGTCTCTCCTAGTTTTGAATTCTCCGTTTCAACTTGAAACTTTTTCTATGCTACATAAGTGTGGGAGGATTTAAAAAGTTGGAATCGTAGCGAAGTGTGACAGGCAGGAAGATGTATATCTTCCTTCTGATGTAAAAATGGCCAATCTTGAAAATTTAGAAAGATACCCGCGACTCTTTACAAGGAACTTCAAAGCGATGGCAGAACTTGGGCGACTATTTCCCCTCGAACCAAATGACTGCGTTAAATTCGATGGAAACCGTGACACGATGGACGCTGATAAATGCGCGATACGCGTCGCTGAAAGCTCAACTCCGTCTCTCTCACCATTTCGCCTATTTTCCTCTATCGATTTGGTCGTGATCGCGGACACGCACATGCGATATCGTGTCACCATGAACCGTGCAACATAGTACATACATACAGATACAGATACGCGATTTATCGCGAGTAATCGTTACGGCGATTAACAGATTAGACAACGATTACGCAAGACTTTAAAGTTACGTCGAATTCGTTCAGGTTTTCAATATTCTCGGAGGAAGGAAAAAAAGGTCGGAGGACGAGATATACCTATTGTATCTTTAATTAGCGCATCGATCGGTGCTGCGATACTTTAAGTAGCGCGCAACGTGTAACGGGTAACGCGAACATCGAACACGTCGCAATGAAAATCGAAACGAAATCTGGCTTTCCGTTTCGTTCGATCGTCTTATTATTTCAAACTTCAGCTATATGCAAAAGTTAAACAAATTCGTGGAAAGAAGAAGGAGAAAGATTAAATCGCTTCTTATAATCGATACACCTATACTTTTATACTTTTCTTTATACATGAATTTTCTATGTTTACATTTGTATTGTGGAGTGCGACAATGTAGCAAAGAGATAAATTCTATGCGGTTCGTAGGTTGCGCGAGATGTTCGTACTTTACGTAGCTAATGATAACGCAAACTGATTATTTTGAAAATATAATTAAGCCGAAAAAGAGGAAATGGCAGGAACGTACCGCGTCGCTTTCAATCGTCCTGTGACGTGTGATGCGAACGGGCTCCGAACAAAACCTGCCGCGTTCCACGTCCTGCGCGAAAAAATAATTCACCAGCCGCTTAATTGAGATTCGTGTTTATGTCGTGTCACTGCAGCAAAGCTAAATAAAGCAGAAATTTTCCAATCCGTTGGAGCGCGTGTGCGGCTGCTTCGAATATCACGTAGAAAAAACCAGCGAGATCAATGCATCGATGCATATTCAGTGGTTCGCATTCTGATAATTACGTGCATTTCGCAGCGTTAGCGAATCGTTCGGCATCGGATCAACTCACGCACCCGTAAACGAATAAATTAAACAATACGTCTACGTACATCTCTTCTAGGTGCGATCTTTTTCTATAATTCTAACGATTCTTCTCACTCTACCGACTATTTCCGATGAACTCTTCGTTAGAGGTAGCAGGGTCATTAACACTAGAACTACCGATGGTTAACACGAAGCTATTTCTACCAAAATCAGTCAAAATGACTGGTCTTCAAACGGCACGTAACAATATTTTTATATTTATTGATTTATTACTTTCTTACTTTCTTACAGAAGCAATTCCATGTTATGTAGTACATTTTTCGTATTATTAATTCATCTGCGAGGGCTGACAGATTTATAAAATCGTAGAACCAGTCATTTTGACTGCTGCAATATTTCTAGCGTTAGCATCTAGCGATCTAGCGATCGATCCGGAATTTTCCTGATAACCGATATCATCGTATCGAATGATACGCGGTAAAAATTTATAAAACGTGTGGCAAGTTGTACAAAACGAGGAAACTGGTTAATTGAGGTTCG